TCCATTTTGATTTTCAGAACAATCATTCTATAGCTCAGAAAAATGGTATTAATAATAAGTGTAGGAGAAAATTATAAAATAAAAGTGAATTACTAATTGTAAAAAAAAAAAAAAAAAGGTCTATACCAACGGAATTATACATCTGTAAAGGTCAAGGTCTATACTCACGGCAAATTTTTTTTAAAATTTTGAGGGTCTATACCAACGGAATTATCCATTTGTACAAGTTAGGTCTATACCCATGGCAAAATCTCTTAAAATTTCTCAGGGTCTATACCAACAGACAAATCTTCCATTGGAATAGATCCCAAGGTCTATACATACGGATTTTTCATCGGTATAAACCCTATACTGACGGGGTTTGCACCAACTGAAAGGACTTCCGTTGGAATAGACCCGGGGGATCTATACTAACGGAAAAAGGGTGTATACAGACGGAAAAGTTCCATCAGTATAGGTGCATCTGGTTGTAGTGGTAGGTAGAAAAATAGAAAGTTCAAATAATAATTAACGACCCCATAGCACCTCAGCAGTCGCAAAAGCAATGGAAAGATACTAAGCTGATTTTAGCTTTTCTAAAGATAGCCAACTTTTGCTTAAAGAGCTAAGAAGATCATCTAATAAGCTGTCCCAAAGACCCACTTAAATTGTTGGGTGAGGCTTGAAGAATATCGAAGATATTCTCCCATAAATTAATTAGAATTATGCTTGTATCACATTTCCTTTACACAATTCAGATTAATATATCCAAGCAAGTAGCAAACCTCATCACAAGCGATGCACATATCCTCGTCTTTAGCAATTTATAATATCAGCTCCATTCTTCACTCTATTTTAAAAACAAAAACCTAGAGCATATTAGATAATATGTAATAAAATCCAGACTTAGACATCCACTTCATACTACATAACAGATACAGACTTATAGTTATTACTTATTGGATTTTTCAAGCAAAGAGATTATAAGATGGCCTAGTCATTTTGAAATTAATTGACTGCTCAAATCCTCAGCAACATGAGGCGTTGCACTGAGCCAATGAAGGTCCTCCATGGCGTCCCTTCGGCAAGTAGCCAGTGTCCGTCCCTGTCTTGAAAAGCCAACTTACATCCAAACTGATTCTCATTTCCAAACATCTCGTTCAAGGTTGTTGTGAGTGTTTCAAATGAATGATGGAGGGTCAAGTCGATTTTTCTTGCTATTCCCACTCCCTCCATCTTCACCTTCACGAACTTTGAATTTGATGGTCTAATAGCGTACCCTCCACAACCACCAATATCATCCAACCTGCAGCCATTGTAACTTTGTCGGCGTATCTTCTTTGTCCTCCAGGTTTTGACTGGTGGCCACCCCACCAAATCATGTTCATCGTTTCTGTATCAATTAAACCAACGATGCAAATAAGATTTATTAAAACCAAGATTCTAAATTTAGAGGGTAGCAACCAAGAGTGAATTACTTGTTAATGACATGGGAAGAGGTCTCCTCAAGGTCTTTTCCATTACCGTCCTCGTCATTGGGCTGCTTATTCCACAGCAAAAGTGGCAGAGTTTCAGGCACCTTTATGTTCTCCTCAACAACTTCCCCAAAAGAACGTTTCTTGCTTCCACCACCGCAGGCGCTATCATTGTCTTTGCAAGTACTTGTGCTAGAGAACCAATTATAACCCAATCGAATCAAGGGCCCATGACAGAAGTTGTTCATGACTCTGTTGACAGGAACAGAGGCGACACTCGGCGGGGCGAGACCTAATTGCAGCTCCATGTATAGATGATAGTACTTGAAATTTTCAAATTATGCAATCATCCAACAATAACAACACAAAGAGATCCCCTTGAATAAAAAAAGAGAAATAAACACTGAACAATAAGAAGCTATGATGATGGTTGTGGGAAAATTTAGGGTAAAGGCATTTGGCAATCTGGGTATCTTGGTTGCTAGCAATGTTTGATGTGGGGTATTTATATATAGAGAAAAGGGGTGAGTGTTAAGACGGTGGGGACAGGGAGGAGACAGGGAGTAAACATTTGGTGAGGTGGGTCCGGATGTTTTGTTTCACTTTTGGGCGACCCGATTGCCTCTGCTGTTCCCCTTCATTGCTTTGTTTTCTTCACCCGTTATAGAAGGAAAATGCTACCCACGCGCACCAAAATGGATATCTTGCGGTTTGATATTGCCGGTGAAAACGAACTGGTAACTAGTTATGAAAATTGCAAACGATTTATTATTATTATTTTTTTTTTTTTGATGTTACTAATTATTTATTAATTAGTTTAGTAAAAACTTTTTTCTTGTAATAATAAGTGATTTTGAATTTAAATTTATAGAATAATAATAAAAAAGACCGAAATTTGAAATAAATGATTTGATATAAGTCACATTATTAAATTAATTCATACATATAATATCATAAGTCTTACAAAAATAAAAAAAATTAATTATTAAATAATATAAAATTTATTTTTTAATATTTTAAATGACATAAATTATGCTATGTTATTAGTCTTAGATTTTGGTCTTATTTATCATTATTTAAATTTATAACATGTGAGTTGGTGAGATAAGTTAAAGAAACGAGAGAGTATTGCTTTTTATTATACAATTCAAGATTAGAAAAAATTAGTTGTAAATATTAGTTAATAGAATAATTAAAATTTATTACTTAATAATTTAAAATTAATTTATAAAAATTATTTTTTAGAAAGTTTAATTGCTTGTTTAAACAATAAAAATATAGAGTAATAAAATTAATTAAACCAAATACATAAAAATGTGCTCTTCAATATATATAGAAAACTAGCTCTAGTTACAAGGAAAAATAACTATGGTAAAGGTAAGTAAGATTATACAATTTGATGGTGAGCTATTCTTATCCTTTTGGAAAGATAAAAAGTAGCTAACTTTAAAGAAATATGCCACATGGGTGGCCACTTTTGAGTGGGCTTTATCAAATTCAATTATTATCCCTTTATTGATTTTTAAGATTTTCCCATTCAACAGAGTCAAGATCATTAAAGAAATCTACTGTGTCATATGGGTCGTCATCAGGATAAAAGGTCATCACCCATGTCAACTCCATTTGTATAATCTTTAGATTGATCCTTTTCACTTTTGTATTCCTTATAATAAAGGTCTAAAAGTTGGGTATAACTTGTTTGAGCTAGGAAAGGAATCTCTCTTAGACTCTAACTATTGTGAAACACATCAGGGTCAAGATCAATCTTCTGAATTTTATCCTCAGTAAAAAGTGTCTATCTAGCTATAAAATCATCACCCCTGACTTACATATGTGCCATAGTCCTTGTTCTCTAGTGTTTAAGTTGTTTGGTGAGGGATTGGTTAGTAGACGGCCAAGCTTGAATGTCTCAGTAGAAAGGAGGTAGTTGACTTCTTTAAATGATCTTAAGTAGATGCTTACCTTTCCATTCAAGTGCCTTACTTTGAATTAATGCCTCAACATACTTTGAAGGCATACTTTCTAGGACAACCATGATGAACTTTCTTCCAAAAAGATCTATATCCTCAATTTTTATAAAAATTACTAGAAAGAGAAAGCCATAATCCAAGAGCAACTAGGGAGTTAACTCAATAGTCTCTCTTTCAAATAAGAACTGAACTAATTTATATGAGGATAAATCTAAAGAAACTTTGCAAATGTTGTAAACAAGTTGACATTGGCAATCAAATTGTTCAAGTGGAATTCCTTGTGTAGTTTCTGCTTTGCCCCTATTACATCATTTGAATTTTCTTCTGTTATGAAATAATAGATATCCCAAGTAAAGTCCATGCCAATTCTGTTAATATTATCTTGAGCTAGTTGTTGAAGGAATTGCTAAATTGCCTTCAATTTGGCATGGCCTAAGGCTTTTGCTTTTTGAAAGATTAGCTATCTTTGAATCTTCAAACAGTCTGGGCAATGGAATTCTTGGATTGAAATTCATTCTGAGTTCCCTCTAAGGGTCGTCTATTAGTAGAATAGATGATGAACTGTTAGAGGATTCTCCCATAGAGTATTTATTAATTCCCAGTGGGGGAATTGATTGTCTTCCACCCACTAGTGGGGCTAAGGTGGTCTTCATTGTTGCATTTGAAAGATCCTGCAAGTTTGGAGCTAAATAAGGGCTAATGAAAAAGCTATATCTAAGTTGTTTTTGAGCAAATTGAATAGCTTCTTTTATTAGATAAACCCTTTATATAATTTTGTATTTGGAACAAAATTTCATCCTATTGCTTATAAACCCAAGGGTTTTTCCCTTGATTAGAACATAGCAATTAAATTTATTATACTTTTTTAAATACCGTGCTAAGTTATTTAAGTTAAACTCAAAGAGGTTCAAATTTTCAAAGTGTTTATGAAGGCTGTTCAGGAGTCGATTAGCAACTAAATCCAAATTGAGTCCTTCTGTACGAGACCTAACTCTAGAGGTGTTGCCTTTATTATTGGCCTTGTCAAAAGTCTAGTGTCTCATTCTAATCCTGCACAAGAGAAGAATGAATATATCTATTTAGCCAGCCAACAAGATAATTATCTTTGCTTTTGATATGTTTAAATTTTACTTTGAAACCATTTCTAATTATAATATTTACAAAATTCATTCAAATTTAGAAGAAAGACTTTTTTCATTTCTCCTTTGAAAATATTTTACAATTGCTTCACAGTTAATTCTAATTGTAAAAGTGTCCTTTTTAATAAAATTCTGAGAGAATTTAAAACATTTATTATTCCTAATATTTCAAAATCAAGTGATGTTAAAAATTCTTTACTTTCTCTATATAATCCACTAAAATATTTACAAATCTTTTTATCTTTTTGAGATGAAAATTCATTAAGTTTAACTAGCAAAATTACTCCCCATCCTTCACTACTATCACCAATTTCGACTATTTTATAGTCTAATTCTAATGGTAGAGTTATAGAGAGTAAATTTTTAACTTCATTTTTATTTTTCTTACAAGTCTAACATCTCACTATTGAAAAATTTGTGTCCTTTGGGACAAAATTTTATGTATAATGATCCAGTTAATTTAGATAAATCCTTTATATACATATGGGCATAATTTAGTATACCCAAAAATTGTTAAAGTTCTTTTGTTTCCTCAATTTTGTTGAGAAATTTAAGAATCTTCTTTATTATATAATCTTATAACTGAATATTTTCCTATCCAATTCTCATTCCTAAAAATTCAATATACTCTTTAAAGAGTTCCATCTTATATATATATACACACACAACCGAAAATGCAATGCGTAACCAATACATTGCATTTTTAATATATATCCTTTCGGATGAGATCTCTGAAACTTGAAACAAAATCTAAGTGAAATTCATCTTTCAAAATCTCTGCTCTACAATCTAAGTTGCGAGATAAAGGTAGTCTAGGACCCGAATCCAATGATATCAATGAAAAGAAAAGTGATTATTTCATACATATCAGGGAGGGAGGTTGATTAAGATTAAGGAAAAATTCCTTTGTAGTGGTTTTATATAACTTTTCCTTTAAATTAAGTAAAGGTAGAATTTTACGTCTTAAATAAATAAAAATGCTCTAACTAAAATTTTCATAAGTGTAATAAAATTTTTTAAAAGGTTTATAATATCATTTTTTAACAAATAATTAAAATATTAAGTACTTATTAATTTTAATTAAATAAATATTAAAATCTTAAAAAAGAACAATAAGTGAAACTCTCTCTCTTGTTTTTTTATTATTTTGATTAATGATTTTAATTTTAATAACTAAATCCAATTTAAAAATTCAGTTTTGATTACCAAAATTTTAACATTTTTTTAATATGGTTCATCCAATTAATAACTTTCTTTTAATCTTTTTAAGCAAAAAAAAAAAGAAGAAGAAGAAGAAGAAGAAGAAGAAGAAGTTCTTTTATTATTAATAAAAGTGAAAAAATTTAATTAATTAAAATTTTAACTGAATTAATAAAAAATATTTATTTTAAAAATCAAGTGATTTGGAATTGGATAAAATACATTCACCTTTAATTATAAAAAAATACTAAAAAAATTGTGTAGAGAGTTTTGATTGTTATTTTCAAATTTTATGGTAATTTGTTTAACTAATATTAATAAAAATTTAATATTTTAACTATTACATATAAAAAAAGGATTATAGATATTATAAAATTTTTTAATAAATTTATAATGAATTTTGTTAGAGTATTTTACTTATATAAGATTACAAATTGTGCCTTTACTAAATAATGAAAAAAAAAAAATCTAGGTGATATACCATAAAAGAAATTTTCCTAAGATTAATGTGGGGCAAAATTTTTTTCTTAAATATAATATATTATAACATATATAATACAAGACACAATTCAATATTAAATATCACCAAGGCAGAATTAAGATGTGAACTATGGTAAGAATTATCAATTAGGTTATAAAAATGTTAATAATCAAGACGTTACACCTGTTTTTCTTTTAATACAACAATTGAAAACAAACATGTTAAACATAAGTCCAAAAAAGAAAAAAAAAATTAAAACTAAACAATCAATTTGTTAACTAATTATCAAGCATTGTTTTTAAATTTCTAATTAGATGTTAAGTCTATGCATTAAATGTGCATTACCCATATTATTATTATTATTATTATTATTATTTATACATCGAATAGTTAGCTACATTGCTTTTTTTGTACATTTGATTATGGGTTATACAAGAAGGAATGACTCTATCTTATTTTCAAATTTCTCTCCAACTGACTCAAAAGTTTGAATTTGAGATCTTCAACTTAAAGTCTCGAGCTCTGAATCATTATGCCACCCTATTGGGGTTGTTGCATTGCTTGTTGATTTTACACAATTTCAAGTTTTTTTAAGTGTAGCCATTAAATTTTATTATAAATAAAATTAATATATAATTTTAAATTTTTTCAAATAATTAACCTCCATCAAACTTAAATCTTTGTATTTCTTTTTCTTTTCCTTTTTTTTTTAGGAAAGAGTTAGGCTTGTGTCCAACCTATACCCTAAAAATCACACTATTTAAATTATTATATTTGGTTACATTATAGAAGATTCTATCCTAAAATCACTTTCATAGACATTTATTTTTGATTATTTGAAATCATCACGTTTCACCGAAGTTTGTATTTGCATAAAAAAAATCAGTATAAAATATCATAAAATAGTAATTACCACTTTATGCCACTATTTTTTTAAGAATAATCACTTGAGAAAAAAAATTAAAAGTACTTCACAACCCTACTGATGGGAACTCCAAAGAGAACAATGAGACCCACAGCACGACAAAGAATTTTGAAACTCCAAGAAAACTAAATCAGGTTTATAATAGGACCTTGACTTGCTGTTTATATCGCAATAAGAACCAAAGGTAAAAACCTTGATCCGTTGTATATGACGTAATAAGAACCAGGGGTATAAAATTGGTTGGTGTCACACCCTCGAACAGTTAAGGACGAGAATGATAAGTCAGGTTAAAATGCCAAAAGAATAATCTTGATAAGTTCTATAAAGTTTTAAAATGAACTAAAGAGAAAAGTCTCTCAAATACTCAGATTCAATAGTTCCCTCCCAATTAGGGTTACAAGCCCTTTAAATAAGAAAAACTAATCCTAATCAGAATAGGAAACTAACACCTTAAATCCTAAACCTAATAACCATAAATTAGGCTTCAAATAAATAAATGTTCAGCCCAAAAATAATAAAAAAAATCATGAAAATTACTCAGAATAACCTAAAAACACATGAAATATCAGTTTGCTACAAATTGCGGCAGGATCGTGCAATTTTGACTCAAATTGTGTAATTTAGTGTGAATGACCTCAATTAAGCTTCTCTTGAACCTAAATGATGTCTACCATGCCTTGATAATCATCCAAGCTTTGATTTACTTGTTGCATGTTGTTTTCAACCTAGATTTGCTCAATAAGGCCATTTAAAGCTTCTTGCATCTTCTTAGCTCTAGCTCTCGTCATTGGACCTCCTCGAATGTCTAATGGATCCCTTGACATGGTACATGTGCTAACATCTTGATTCCCATCATTCCTTCTCTCCTCAAAAGGATTTGTCCTCGAATCGTCACCTACATCAAAAGGAGAAAGATTAGAAACATTAAAAGTAGCATTAACATTATACTCACCAAGATAGCATTAACATTATACTCACCAAGAAGCTCCAACTTGTATGTGTTGTCATTAATCCTCACAATCACTTGATATGGTCCATCGCCTCTTGGTTGCAACTTAGAATGCCTTTGTGAAAGGAATTGCTCCTTGTGCATATGCACCCAAACCCAATCTCCAGGTTCAAACACAATTCTCTTTCGCCCTTTGTTGGCTTGATTTGCATATTGTTCAATTCATCACTCTATGTTTTGTCGCACTCTTTCATGCAATTGCTTAACCACTTCAGCTTTCTTTTTCCCATCCAAACTAGCTCGTTCATCAATAAGTAAAGGTAGTAAGTCCAAAAGAGTGAGTGGATTAAAACCATATGCAACTTTAAATGGCGAACATTTAGTTGTTGAATGGACACTTCAATTATAAGCAAATTCAACGTGTGGCAAACACTCTTCCCAATTCTTCAAGCTTTTTTGAATAATAAAATGCAATAAGGTTGGCAACATCCTATTAACCACTTCTATTTGTCCATCAGTTTGTGGATGACAAGTAGTTGAAAATAGTAGCATAGTTCCTAACTTGCCCTACAAGGTCTTCCAAAAGTAACTCAAGAACTTAACATCGTGATCAGAAATGATAGTCCTTGGAATGCCATGCAAATGAATGACCTCCTTAAAGAACAAATCTACAATATTGGTTACATCATCAGTTTTATCACATGGAATGAAGTGTGCCATCTTCAAGAACCTATCAACAACAACAAAAACAGAATCATGGCCTCTTTTCGATCATGGTAAGCCAAGAACAAAATCCATAGATATATCAACCCAATGTTCAGTAGGTATAGGCAAAGGACTATACAAACCATGTGGTAAAACTCTAGATTTTGCTTGTTTACATGTTATGCATCTTTCACACATCCTTTCAACATCGCGTTTCATCTGTGGCCAAAAAAAGTGATCGTTCAGAATATCTAAAGTTTTCCTAACTCCAAAATGTCCCATTAAGCCTCCCGCATGAGATTCCCTTACTAACAATTCTCTTAATGAACAGTTACGCACACATAATCAATTTTCTCTAAACAAGAACCCTTCATGCCTGAAAAACTTATCAAAAGCAGCCTTCTCACATGCATTAAACACATTAGCAAAATCTGGATCATTAGCATATAATTCTATAATGTGCTCAAATCCTAATAACTTTGCACTTAGAGTAAAGATAAGTGTACATGTGAGATAATGCATTAGCCACAACGTTTTCCTTTCCTTGCTTGTTGTCACGCCCCAAAATCAGGAGCGAAACAGACGCCGTGTGCTCGTGAATGGATCCCACAAATGCACAAGGCTCGAAACCTACTATGTTCATAATTACCAAAAATTTACTAGTCAAGATGTACAAAAGTTTATAAGACAGTCATGGCTATAACCAAGGGAAACTCAGTATACAAAAAAATGATTTATCATTTCACATCTATGTCAAGCATGTGTGGCTAATGGCCTAAGTCCAAAAGGATCTAAGTCCAAAATATTAACTAGCCTTCTAGCTCGTCATTCCCTTGGTTAACCGTGCCTCGGGTCCCACTTCATGAAATAGTGGACAAGGAAAACTATGAGATAAGATATCTCAGTAAGTAAAAATATGGATAGCCCATGAGTAAAATTTAAGCATGCTTGATAAACAATTTTACATAACAAAACGTTCAATGATAAATCGTTAATGCAGAATAAGATTCAGTAGTAGTCTCATTTATAAGTCATGGCCAGTGTTTAACAAACTCCCACTGGCAGGCGTCAATAATAACCAATGCATTATCCCATTGGTAGGATTACAGAATGAACCGGTCCTATCAGTATAAATGTCAACATGTGCTAGCGTTTGCAAACTCCCACTAGCGAGCGTCAGTAATCATGACTATATTAGAGACAAAACCATGCAAGATTTATAGGAAAAATCCGTAATTTACAAGCAATCTCAAATTTCAAGAATAAACCGAAAAAATTCCATGTGGGCATGCTTAACCCCAAAAAAATAATAAAAATTTTCGTTTCCATTCTAATCATGCTCAGGTGTTAATAAAATCAATTTAAACCTTGCCACCATCTCAAAAACAATTTAAAATATGCTTTTATTGTAAAATCAAAGGGCGTTACTATAATTTACTTACCTTAATCGCATAACACAGAGAACTCACTACAAGTGCTAGGGTGACGGAATAATCAAGAACCTAACCAAAATATTCCAAAATTAATAACCATATGACCGGACATCTCAATTTTATTCTCAATATAAACTAAACATTTAAACCTTCCTATTGTTGCCGACAATTAATCCCATAAAGAAATCTTATTTATTTATTTATCCTTATTTTTCTTTTATCTGAAATTTGAGCACAAAAAATCAGATTGTGCATTTATATATATATGTACAAAAACACACATATACAAAATTCTCCAAATTCACGAACAACTGGAGGAACGGGCTTTGGCAAAACAATAGCTAATTCACGGAAATTTTCTCTAGAACCTCACAGTAGCCAATTAATACCCAATCATATAAATTCTACATGAATTAAGCTTAAATTTTATTCTAATTGCTACCAGAATTCATCCCCTATTTTAGCAGAAATTCGGACAGCGCAGGGGCGGCAATTAATGGATAAATTCAGCAACTAATGGGTAATTTTGGACTTAGAGGGAGCTGTCACATACTAGAAAATTCAGCAAGCAAAATTGGAGCTGGCTGGTTGGGGAAACCGACGAAAATTGAAGGAGAATTTAGGGGATCTACCAGAAATTGGGAGAAACCAAAAGAAATTAGAGTAAACCCAAACCAAATCAAGGGAGAAAAGAGGAATTAGTGGCTGTTTCCTTACCAGAAACTTGAACAATTCACACCCACACAGCCAAGAGCAGCAGACGGAGGGGGAAGGAACAAAGCAGATCTGAAATTTTTCTGCAGGGGGAAGATTTCTAAGTTCTAAATCTTGTTCTTGAACAAGAAAAGAAGGGAAAAATCAAGCTTTTACCGTTTCTCAAAAGGGTGGGTGTTGTCGGTGGCTTGGGGCTTCTTGTTCGGCTGCAGGGGAGAAGGAGAAGAGTAGAAACGAGTGGCTGAGGAAGAAAGAAAGAAGGAAAAAAAAAATTAGCCGATCCTTATCCTAATTCTTTTCTCTTTTAAGTCCCTCAAATTTGAAAATTTTATGATTAAGCTCAACAATATTACTTTCTCACAATTAGGTCCCTAGCTCACACTTAATTGTTCTAGAAATTTTTGGGGTATTACACTTGTACTTGATCACATAGAGAAATGTCTCAAGGAATTCCACCCACTTAGCATGCTGTCTATTCAACTTACCTTGTCCCTTTAGGTGCTTCAACGATTCATGATCAATATGTATCATGAACTCCTTAAGCCAAAGCTAATGCTGCCATGTTTCTAAGGTCCCCACCAACGCGTACATCTCTTTGTCATAAGTAGGATAGTTAAGTGCTGCACCAATCAATTTTTCATTGAAAAATGCAATAGGTCGCTGCTTTTGCATCAAAACAATGCCAATGCCAACACACTTTTTTTCACGATTTCAATCAACGGAGTTGCAATTATGCTGAAGTGCTTAATGAATCTTTGATAGAAACTCACCAAACCATGAAAACTTCACACCTCAAAAATATTCTTAGGTGTTGGCCATTCTTTAATAACCTTAACCTTTTCTTCGTCCATTGCAATTCTATTAGCTGAAACAACATACCCTAACAAGACAATTTGATTTTTGCAAAAAGAACACTTTTTAAAGTTAACAAACAACTTTTCTTTTCTCAAAACCTCTAGTACAATTCGCAAATGCTCAACGTGATCAGTTAAACTCTTACCATATATCAAAATGTCATCAAAATAAACAACCACAAATTTGCCAATGCAAGCACAAAAAACATGATTCATTAATCGCATGAATGTACTAAGCACATTAGTTAATCCAAATGGCATAACTAACCACTCATATAAACCATGTTTCGCTTTAAAGGCTGTTTTCCATTCATCTCTTTCCTTCATCATAATCTGATGATACCCACTCTTTAAATCAATTTTAGTGAATATGAAAGAACCATGCAGTTCATCTAACGTGTCATCTAATCTAGGAATAGGGTAACGATACTTTACAATGATTTTGTTGACCGCACAACAATCAACGCACATACACCAAGTCCTATCCTTCTTAGGCACAAGTAGCATTAGAACTACACATAGACTCATGCTTTCTCTCACATGTCCCTTCTTCATGAGTTCTTCAACTTGCTTTTGAATTTCTTTCATTTCATTGGGGTTGCTTTGATATTGTAATATCCCAAAATTTCTAGGATAAATAAGTGACTTAGGGACTTGTTTGAGAAAAAAATATTGTTTTGGGCTTAATTACCAAAATGTCCAAAGTTGAGGGACTTAAAGAGGCAAAATTTGGATAAGGATGGCTTATTTCTTTTCTCCTTTTTTCCTCTTTCTTCTTAGCCCGATTCTGCTCTTCTTCTTCTTTCTTCCCGCTGCAGCCACCCGAAAGAAAAAAAAAAAAAGGGAACTCGACAGCCTTCCTTTGAGAAACCGGTGAAGAAGCTTGGTTTAGGCCTTCGTTTCTTGTTCAAGAACAAGATTGGAGCCTTGAAACCTTCCCCCCCCCCCCCC